AAACAAAAGTAATAATAGAAATAATACACCAGCTTGGTGGTCACGTCCTCGTCATAAATAATACACCAGATTGGTGCCCTCACACCAGCCTGGTGGTCACGTCCTCGTCATAGATTCTTCACTCCTCGTCATAACGACGACTTCCTTTTCTAGATCTGCTGTGTCGTCTAAATGAATCATCGTCGTATAATTCGACTTCGTCAACGTGGAGGAAGTTATTATCATGAGATGCATTGTTGTTAGTGACATGGCGCCTCCCATGGAAGTTCTTCTTTTTCTTCTTCTTGCAAATGAGCTGCCAATCTCCTTGGTCAACGTTGTCGGTGACGTGGTTGTCACCTAGATCATTATCGGGAACGTGGTTGTCACCTACATCGTCCTCGGGAACGTGGTTGTCACCTACATCTTCTTCAGGAACGTGGTTGTCAAGTACATCGTCCTCAGGAACGTGGTTGTCACCTAGATCATCCTCGGGAACGTGGTTCTCACAGTAATTTTCGTAGTTGGGGATATGGTCATCGCAGAAGTCGGAATTATATGAAGTGATTACCCTGTCTGGTTCTTCCTGCTCACTGAGGGAAGTAAAGCACTGTGGTATAAACCTTGGTAATAAATACCGACAAGTTGGTTTAGAAAGACACGTAAGCAAACACTATAACATAAATATGTAGGCGAGACAGGCAGAGATCTTGCAGTCCGCCTGAATGAGCATCGAAATGCCTCTAACAGAGACGATGTAAGGTACGCCTGTGTCCTCCACAGAGACTCCACGGGGCATTTGATGAACTGGAACGAGGCACAACTCGTTCTCACCGAACCAGACCTCAGACGCCGACGGTGCCTAGAAGCCTCACTAATCACCGTCACCGACACTATAGAACGCAACACTGGAAACTACAAAATTTCAAAAACATTGGCATACATGATACTTAAGCAGCACCAACCCAACAACACAGGAGTCACATGATTTCATCGTCTACTGGTCCTCATCATAGGCAGAGGTTGTTTTGATAAGGACCTGCCTCGCATGGGCCAGTAGGCCTTCTACAGTGTTCCTCCATTCTTATGTTCTTATGACATTCCTCAGGTCACGTGCGTCACATCTCACTCTCCGCCTATATATATAATGTCTTTCTACCTCTGTATGTTAGAAGTGATCAAGGTCCCAGGACCGAAACGTTTTCTAATAAATATGTTATAGTGTTTGCTTACGTGTCTTTCTAAACCAAGTAAAGCACTGTTCAGGCTCGCTCCTACCTTCACTTGTCTTGCGTCCCAGGCGCAGGTTCCTCAACCAGTCCGGCTCAAACTTTGTAGATTCGTCTTTTGGGACCTCATCTCTAGTCACCATCTTATGTTCAGGCGTGCTCCTACCTTCACTTGTCTTGCGTCCCAGGCGCCGGTTCCTCAACCAGTCCGGCTCTAACTTTATAGATTCGTTTTTTGGAATTTCATCTCTTGTCACCATCATATCTTCTTGGCTCGGATTGTCGTCTTCTTTTAAACTTTTCTCATCTTCGCGACTTTCTGTCCCATCTTCACGACTTTCCCTCCTGTCCTGGAGATCTTTCCCACACTGGGAGTCGTTTTCTTGCACAGAGAGGGACAAAGTGTTGGTTAGGGACCTGGTGTCGGGGAGTATCAGAGTGTTGGGGAGGGTCATGGTGTGGGGAAGGGTCTGCGAAGGTCCAACTGTCTCAAAGGTAGCAGTGAATACTTGTTCACGAGTATACACGGAGTCACCATTCACCTCTGGGTTACCAATACTGGAAAGTATTGGTGACTTCTGAACTCTGAGTATTGCAGCAAGAGTGCAGGAAGTAGCTCCTAACACCATCAAAATAACCAACAGAAGGACTGGCAAAAACTGGAAGAGTGAAGAAGTTCCCTTGCAGGAGTCGTTCACATCCTTGAGGAGGATTTCCAGTTGTTTAACATCATGGTTGGCTTGGTACTCTCTCAGGAAGATGCCCAGAACAGGCCAGGTTTGTGATGCCCACCCAGGGGTTACCTGGCTTGCTGGGGTCTGTGGGAAGGTATAAGTATTACAGTTTATAATGATCCCCATCCAAGGGATTCCACAAAGTTTCCAGGGAAGAGATTCACAAGCCAAGGCAACTTCCTCAATCTCATTTAGGAGTAGTGTCTGGTCCTCTTCCAGCTCCCGGACCCATTCATCAACAACGCCACATAAACAAACAAAAACATAGATGAACACCACCACACCAACAACAATGGTGAAAGTTTTAAGCAATGCCATAGTTGGAACATGAGTAAAAGATTAACGCAAGTTTTTGATGATTCTTAAGATGCGAAAACTTGAAATATCATAATGAAATGTAGGGGGATTTTTATCCTGATTTTGATACAAAAATAACATATGAAAAAAATAGTGAGCTTCGAATTTTGCTCTGGCCTTGTGTATAGTGAGGTAAAAACATAATTATGTGATGTGATAATTTTTGTTATAGGGGCGGTAAAAAGATTTTTATAGTGATGCCATAATTTTGTGTATAGTGATGGTAATGTTTTATATTAGGGTGATAATGTTTGTATATGGGAAATAGATATTTTAGTGATGGTGAAAATGGATACTGGGGGTAATAGTTTTTATAGTGATTGATAATGTTGTGTTAGTGTGGTATAATATTTTTAGTGTGCTGAAAAATTTTGTGCATAGTGGGGTAATCATTTTTATAGTGATGGAGATAATGTAGTGTATATGGGGGGTAATAGATATTTTTAGTGATGGTGATAATTTGTGTATAGGGGTTTGGTAATAGATATTTATATTATGGGCAATGTTGTGTATGTGGTGTTAATAGATATTTTTATGAGGGTGATAATGTTGTGTATAGTGGTAGTATAGAATTTTTAGTGTGGTGAAAATGTTGTGTATGTGGTGGGTAAAGATATTATATTATGGTGATAATTTTTGTGTATGTGGTGGTAATAGATATTTTATAGTGATGTTGAAATGTGTATAGCGGTGGTAATAGATATTTATGTGAGGGTAAAAAAATTTTTTGTTTTGTGATGGTAAAGATTTTTATAGTGATGGTGTTAATAATAATAAAAAAATAATAATAATAATAATAATAAAAATAATAATAATAAAAATAATAACAATAAAAAATAAGAAAAAAAAAAGTAATAATAGAAATAATACACCATTTGGGTGGTCCCGTCCTCGTAAAAAAAATTTACCCAGATTGGTGCCCTCAAAAACCAGCCTGGTGGTCACTCCTCGTCTAGATTCTTCACTCCTCGTCATAACGCGACTTCCTTTTCAGATCTGCTGTGTGTCTAAATGAAACATCGTCGTATAAATTTGATTCGTCAAAGTGGAGGAAGTTATTACATGGATGCATTGTTGTTTTGTGACATGGGGCCTCCCATGGAAGTTCTTCTTTTTCTTTTTCTTGCAAAAGAGCTGCCAAACTCCTTGGTCAAAAAGTTGTCGGGATGGTTGTCACCTAGAAATTTTGGGAACGTGGGTTTTCCCTACAACGTCCTCAGGAATGTTTGTCACCAGATCATTATTTGGGAACGTGGTTGTCACCTACATCGTCCTCGGGGAAAGTGGTTGTCAAGTACATCGTCTCAGGAAAGTGTTGTCACCTAGTCATCCCCGGGAAAGTGGTTTTCACAGTAATTTTTTGAGTTGGGGGTTGGTCACGCAGAAGTCGGAATAAGAAGGATTACCCTTCTGGTTCTTCCTGC